AGCCATTATAAACTCCTTCCTTTGTGCTGGTCTTTACATTAGCTTTTTCAACATAAAGACTAAAATCTTGGGTTCACTATACTAGGTTCCTTCCATTCAAGGGTTATGATCTTTGAAATGATTTTTAAGTGAACATTTACAATTACATTTACTATCCGTTAGAAGGTCTTCTTTTTTGGTATGGTATACTGATCTTAAATTATTATCCTGTATATTCAGCGTAATCCATACTACTCACTCATGTGCATCAAAGTACATTTAATCTCAGAGAAATCTGTGCTTAAATGCAAGAAGGGGGAAGAATTTGGATAAAAGGGTTTATCATGTATTAAGAAACCTGACAGTGGCTTCCAAGGACTAGGCAGTACTTTTCTCTACCCTGGCTGCCTCATCTTCGTCCCACCCTGCACCCTCCACACACACACCAGTCCCATCTTGCTCTTTGGCCTTTTTTTTTCTCATTTTGTATCTTGGCCAAGATCATGGACTAGGGAAGGAGAAATGGTCCAAGTTATGGTGATTCATAGCAGTGGACTGAGATTTAGATGATTTTGCTCCACTCCATCAGCCCTTCTTTTTTCTTTTTAACTTTTTACTGGGTTCTATTATCCATATAGATAAAGGCATTTTGCTGAACTTTTACCAACTGAACACACCTAGCACCCAGATCAAGATCAACTGTCTCTTAAGAGCCCCGCGCCACATGGCCCCGTGGTCACGATGCTTCACCCCACCCCAGGATGACCACTCTCCAGACTCTAAGCAGGATAGAGTAGTGTCACCTGCTTTTTAACTTTCTATAAATGGCATCATTCAGGATGTCCTTGTTTGCTTTGCCAGGACTCGTTCATTCAACATTAGTTCATAAAATTCACCCAAGTCCTTGTGCTTGGGTGTAGTTTATTGACTCAGATTCATGCATATGCCACAATGGGCATTTGAGGTGTGTATGGTTTGGCACGGCCATGGCTGGCGAGGCTGTGGTGTGCGTGTGGGCATGTTTCTGGGAGCTGTGCACCTAGGAGGGGATTTGCTGGGCTCCTGGCTGTGTGTGTGTTCATCTCCAGATGATGCTGCTTAACTGTGAACAGCAGAAAGAGCACTTGGCCACCACTGTTCCCAAAGAGGCCCCTTCCTGTTTGTAGAAGATTCTAGCCAGTGCCTCCGCAGTGAGACCTGATATGTCTGCCATCCACGCATCCACCCATCCTTGTCTGGTTTAACGGGCCTGTTGGCACATCTGTGGAGCCATGATGCCTGACATTTGAGAGGATTTGCAGGATCCTGAAGAACCTTCTGTGTCATCAAAAAGAGCTTCTCCTTTGCTCTTTGTGGTCTTACAGTTTCATGATCAATTCATGATGAATTCATTTATTCACAAATGGTTATTATATTTCTACTCTCTAGAAAGTACCATAGACATAAATTAAAAACAGGGGCACCTGGATGGCTCAGTCGGTTAAGCGTCTGCCTTCAGATCAAGTCATGATCTCGGTCATGGGATCGAGCCCCACAGGGAGCCTGCTTCTCCCTCTCCCACTCCCCCTGCTTGTGCGCGCTCTCGCTCTCTCTGTCAAATAAATAAATAAAATCTTTTTTTAAAAAAAATGAAGTAAATTAAAAATAGAATCTTCTCCCTGAGTAGTTTACAAGTTTGGGAAGGTATAAATAATTCTAACACCAAGTAGAATGAGATGAGTTCCATTTTAAAAACATACAGACAAGGGGACTATATTTTAATACTGGTAACCTACTTACGTTAAACATCATATTCTAGGATATTTGATTAAATACTACAAAATTTTATGCCTAAACTTATTCTAAACATTTATCAGTTCACCAATGGTAGATGTAAGCTCAGGTTAAATGCCACAGTCTAATTTTATTCTCTCCTGTGAATCCAGGGACACTTACACTCCACACCAACAAATGTAGTTGATCAGCAAATGGATACTTTCTGCTTATCTCTCTACCCTTCCAGATAAACCTAAAATCCTTTCTTTCATTTGCAAGTTACCTGCTAGAGAGTTTAGTTCTGCCAATGATTGTGTAATTATTCATTCAACATATGTTTGTTTAGCTTACTTTGTGTCAAATATTGCAGCCGGCCCTGAATATGAATAATGAAACATACACACCTGGTGCAAGGATCCTTGTCCTAAGATGCTTGTCCTCCTAGCACTGACAGTCTCGGGGTAAAGAGAAACAGTGTCCAAGTCACCACACGCTGGAATTTCAACTACTATATGTAGTAGATTTAATAGTGTGCCCCCAAAATTCGTGTCCACTTGGAACCTCAGAATGGGACCTTATTTGGAGATTAGATTTTTGCAGACATGATCAGTTAAGATTATATTGCTTTAGGGCGGACCCTAATTTAAATGATTGGTATCTTTGTCCAAGAAAGAAAAGGAGACTCAGATAGACCCACAAACACACAGGGAAGAAGGCCTTGTGATTTCAGAGGCAGGTAATGGAGTGATGCAGCTATGGCTCAAGGAACACCAGGATTGCCAAGAAGCTGAGTCAAGGAAGGACTCTTTCTTAGAGACTTAGAGGAGCTCAGCGCTGCTGACAACTTGATTTAGGGCTTCCAGCCTCCAGAATACTGGGAGAAGCCTCTGGAAATAAAAGTAGTACCATCTTTTTTTTTTTTTTTCTCTCTCTCTCTCTATCTGTTTGCTCCTCACCTTGAGCTCCCAGCACTTTGTTTGTACCTCAGCTGGAATAGCTATTATATTTGTCATTACCTGTTTATAGACCCATCTATTCATTACAACGTGGGCTCCATGAGAGCAAATACTGTGTCTTAGTTATTTTTATATCCCCAGAACTTCACAGGGAACCTGGCCTCTGGGATTAGATTTATAAGTGACTGCACTGATATATAAATAAATGAGTCAGCAAAGGCATGAATTAAATACCTCATTTCTGCTCTTTCTTCTCGGCCTGTCTTTGGCCTTATATAATTGCCTTTCTCTCTGGTCTGACTTAACATATTAACTGCTTTTTCTTTTTCCTGTGTGCTCGCCTTACCACTGACAAATATCTTTCTACCAGTTATGCCAATAAATTTTTGGAAAGTGAGTCTCTTCATCATGAATTTCTTTTTTTATATATGGAGCCATTTTTTCTTTTGTTTTAAGATTTATTTATTTATTTGAGAGAAAGAGAGAGGGAGAGCATGCACGCTGGGGAGGAGCAGAGGGAGAGGGAAAGAGAGAATCCCAAGCAGACTCCCTGCTGAGCGCAGAGTCCGATGCGGGGCTCGATCTCATGACTCTGAGACCATGACCTGAGCCGAAACCAAGAGTCAGACGCTTAACCAACAGCCACCCAGGCTCCCCTGAAGCCATTTTTTAATTGCCTCTATCTCATGGGAATGCTAGCAGTGTATGTTTTGGGAACTAATTCTTCATCACTCTCACCATCATAGCCATCAAATGATTGGGAGCATGCTATGTTGTGTTCCATTTGGGGAGAGGGGAAGGCAACAAACAAGTCTCGCCTTCTCTAAGTGAGGTCACCACCTAAGTCAGAAATCCACAGACAAGCCCCCAAATTAAATAAGACATACACTGGCTACAGCAAAATATCTCTATTATATAAAACAATAATGTAAGAACAGTTTCTGAAGTTGATGAGAAATGAGGCATGTTTTCTGAACTAGAACTAAGACTATAATCTCACTATGAGCTCACAACCAATTAGACAACTGAGCCATATATTGTATTGAAATTGGATGTTCCCCCAAACGCAGCGCTCATGTTCTCTCTGGCCAGTTTGGATACCTCCACTTGGGAAGGAGAGAAGAATTGCCACCTTTCTTCCCGTTATAAAAGTTATAAAAATGTTCTCAGCCTCCCCTGCTCCTCTTTCCACAAACCGGAGACAGGCTGTAATTATAAAGTAAAAGCGTACCCAGCAAGGGATGAGAAGATGATAGTGTTTGAAACATGCTTCCCGCACCCCACCAGAAAGGCTGCCTGAATGTGATGGACCCTTTGAACAGGAACAGTGCTCTGAGACGCAGGCTGGAGGGAGGAACAGGAGATGGGCTGGGATGGAGAGGTTAGCCTCGTCTATAGAGAGGTCTGAGAGAAGGGAGTCGTAAAGAGAAGTAAGGGAGGTCAGCAAGAGAAGTCAGCCTTGGAGGAGGAAGAAGGTGCAGTGAAAAGGGGTAGAAGCACCCTCTTTCATTTTTCAGGCCAGGGTTCCGCAGGCCAAATCCATCCTTGTGGCGGCTCCTTAGCTCAGCACTGGCTCCAATTAGTGATGTCAAGTCTCAGGCTCCCTGAACTCTAATTTGTAGAAATACAAAATTATATGAAAAATATAAAAACCATCTTGTAGATGGATAGATGATAGATGATGAATACTGTTTGCTTGTCATTTCTTGCAAAGATACTTTATGGCATATAATGTAATAATTCCCAAGCATGTTTACAACGAAATAAAGAAGCCTCCCTGTAGGTACCAAATGTGTTGTTTCCATTTTGAGCTTTTCTTTTTGAATATGCTAGAATAAATGACCTGTTTTCTTGACATTTTCGCTAGTTACAAATATTACCATTTAGGAAACTTAGGAGTTTCATTTATTTTTATTCTTTTGGTTTCCTATTCCAGCACACATGTGTATAAAACATATTTTATTGTTATATTATTGTATATGCTAGAGATAAGTAAACAATAAAAATAACATTTGGTGTGAAAGGGGGTTTATATTTAGGAATAAAAGAACCTAATTTTTTTCTTCTAATTATTTTTTCTGATTTCGTTTTTTGCTTGGTTCAGTTTGGGTTTTGTTTTCCGGGCGGTTAAAGCTGGAGCGCACACTGAGCCGGTAGGCAGTGGGTGAGAAAGGCACTGAATGGGGCTCTGCTGCCATCTACCGTCCATAATGTACCAGCTCATTGTTCCCCTGATGCAAAAAAGCTGACAGTCTGTGACTTGAGAGTACGATAAGTTCCCCCCTTTCCTTCTTTCTATTTTTTCTTTAGTTAAAGCAAAGTGAAGCGAATGCGGACACCAAAGAAAAACTCCCTTTGCGACTTCGAATCTTCGAAAAATTTCCAAACAGACCGCAAATGGTGAAAATCTCAAAGCTTCCTTCAGACTTTACAGTTCCTAAAATCAGGTATTAATGTACTTATTTTGTTGTATATGCCCCATACACTGTCAAGGATTTATCTTAAATCTGATTCAGCCCTTCTTTCAAATTCATGTTTGAAAGAGGGTATTTTTTTTCTATTTTTAAGTTATTTCTTTTGACCCCTTTAAGCAATATATTCAGAACGGTCATTTGCCAAGACGAGAAAGCTGCTCCCTCCTGCTTCTCCCTGAGATGCCCCTCGGGGATTCCACTTCCCAGGTAACTGACACAGGTGCTCAAGGTTGCAGGTAGACCCCAGCCTCTGACCTTCAACCGTGGAAGGATAAACTGGCCTCTTGTGGCCTTTTATTCTCAAGTAAATAGAGAAATGCCACCAGCCAGGTTTCTGTACTATTATAGCAGCATTCATGTAGAATGTCATGTCTGATTACGATATAATTTGCCTTCCACTTTTTCTTTTTCAAGTTTAAAAATTCTTTAATGCAGGGCCGCCTGGTAGCTCAGTCGTGAAGCGTCTGCCTCCGGCTCAGGTCATGATCCCGCAGTCCTGGGATTGAGCCCCGTGTCAGGCTCCCTGCTCGGCGGGGAGTCTGCTTCTCCCTTTGGCACTCCCCCTGCTTGTGCTCTCTCTCTCTCACTCTCACTCTATCTTAAATAAATAAATAAATAAAAATCTTAAAAAAATAAAAAAAAATTCTTTAATGCATCTTAGACAAAGAACAAGTATTGCATTATAAAGACTTGCTTAAAAGCATGCGAAGTCTGTTGTCATTGCTTCTTTGTGCATCATAAACAACATAACTATTACGGGAGAGAATGGCACCTCGTTCCTTCTCATCCTTAACTAAGTGTTCTTAATTTAGCATCGATACAACCTTAGAAGGAAAATCCTGGTGACATGGCTTGCCCAACACTCTCACCTCAAGTTCTAATAGCTCCTCGTCTTCCATTTTTAAAGGAAAAAACATGGCATTTCCCACTTACGCTAATTTGATTTTCTACCACTTTGCCCTTCAGTGAAGCATTTGCGTAAAAGATACTTTACTTTTTCTTTTTCTTTTCTTTTCTTTATTTGAAAGAATGAGATAGTGAGAGCATGAGAGGGGAAGGGTCAGAGGGAGAAGCAGACTCCCCGCTGAGCAGGGAGCCCGATGCGGGACTCGATCCCAGGACTCCAGGATCATGACCCGAGCCGAAGGCAG